AGAATGATACTAGGACTTCCACCGTGTGAGTGCTGGGCATTGACTTGGGCTGTCGGGTTTGGTGGTAAGTGCCTTTACCGTGTTTTTCCCACAGCTGCCTGATCTTGATGTCTTATGCCCTTCCCCTCTGGTCTCTTTATAAATATTATTCATTCATTGCTCTTATCAAATACCCACAGGTGCTCACCTCAAGGTCTCTTCATTGTTGTATCTACTTAATTTTATCTGGAGTTAATTCATTTTCTCTCTCTCTCCCTTTCTCTCTCTCTCTTTCTCCTTCCCTCCCTCCCTCTCCCTCTCCTCTTTTACCCCCATCGATCCCCACTTCTTCCCAGCACCTAGCATGTCCTATTTGAGGCCTGATCTTCAGTGAAGAACATGCTTTTACTTGGTGGTTCCAAGTCTCAGAGTCTCCCCCTCCAACGATCTGTTCATCCATCCAAGTGGTATGGGAGGGAGGGGATGGTGTCTATGTGGTCCAAGGGTCACATGCTGTCACCCCATGAAGTGATTGGTTTCTCTTCTTACCTCTGGCTTAAAAAGATAGCCTGGCCCTGTCCCCACCCTTGCATCTGTATTACACAGAAGGAAGGACTCAGAACTCAGCAGGCCATGTCTGTGTTTCCTCCTGTGCTCACAGCAGACACTGAAGAGCAGATGGATCCTCATAGCAGCTCCTGCACCTGAACCAAGCCTAAGTGTTTTCCTCTGCCTCTCTCTCTCTCTGTCTCTGTCTCTCTCTCTCTTCCCTCCCTTCCCCTCTTCCTCCCTCCTTCCCTCTCTTCCTTCCTTCTTTCCTTTTTTTAGTTTGAGTTGTTTAAATTAATTAATCTATTTATTTTATACCCTGATCTCAGCGTCCCCTCACTTCTCTCCTTAGAAAAGGGGGTGCCTCCCATGGATATCAATCCACTTGGCATATCAAGTTGCAAGTAGGACTAGGTGCTTCTTCTCCTGTTATGGCTAAGCAAGGTAGCCCAGTTAGGGGAAAGGGATCCAAAGGCAGGCAACAGAGTTAGAGACAGCCCCTGTACTAGTTATTAGGAGTCCCACATGAAGGCCGAGATACAAAACTGTTACATTTGTGTGTGGGCCTAGGTCTGTCCTATGTATGCTCTCTGGCTGGTAGTTCAGTCCCTGTGAGCCCCTATGGCTGTGGGTCAGTTGATTCTGTAGGTTTTCTTGTGGTGTCATTGACCTCTCTTGCTCTTTCAATCCTTCCTCCCCATCTTCCGTAGAATTCCCCAAGCTCTGCCTAATATCTGCCTGTGGGTCTCTGTATTTATTTCCATCAACTGCTGGATGACTTCTCTCAGATGACAGCTATGCTAGGCTACAGTCTGCAAGTATTAAAGAATAGCATTAACAGTGTCGGGGTGAGTTCTCTTTCGTGGGATGGGTCTCAAGATGGGCCAGTCATTGGTTGGCCATTCCTTCTCCCTCTGCTTTTCTTATTTTTAAATTTCTTTTAGTTATGGTGGTTGGAGCTAGAACTCAGTTGCCAGAGTTCCTGCCCAGGATGGCAGAGTGCTTGCCCAAGTTGGCAGACTGCTTGCCCAAGTTGGTAGAGGAGATTGCCTAACGTATGAGGCACTGGGTATTTTTCTTTTAAAAAAACAAAACCCCAAACATTCGATTTACCAAATGAAGACTCAGGAGCCAGGTGCTGTGGTGAAAGTCTGCTAGCTCAGAGAGGCAGAGAAAGCACCCAGTTGATCTTACTCCACCAACATTCCAGAAGGAAAATGCTCATTCTCCTCCATGCTGTCTTAAATACCCTTCAACTCAAAGACCCTCCATTCTCTTTCCTGGGTTTATTTATGCTCACTCACTGTCAACTGGTTGCTTGCTCCGCCACCTCCTGACCTATCTATTGTTGACTTTATTTAGCTCTTGTTAACAGAAAGCCCCCAGGGTTCAGGGGTCAAAGGTGTGTGCTACTGCTGAGCCACAACACAACAAGAAACGAGTTTTCCCAGTTCACAGTATCAGGGTCCACAATGTGATCAACTATCCGGCAACACCTGGGCTTACTCTCTATTGCAAAACATAGTTGTCCAACTAGGGAGGTAGGGGCTGGTGGATCAGAAATTCAAGGCATCCTGCATGAAATTTGAAGCCAGCCTGAGCTACATAGTCTAGTCTCAAAAACAAACAAACAAACAAACAAACAAACAAACAAACCTGTCTTTGCATCTTCTTTTTTTCTCCATTTTTCTGGACTATGACTATAGCCTTTTTGAAATGAGACTAAATTCAAGAAAATGATTTATCATTTCCAAAATTTCATCATTTCTCATTTTTCTGTGATAACTCCAGCTTGTGTCAAGTTGACACAAAACCAGCCAGTACAGCCATCATTGATGCTGTTACCCTGGCCTCTTCTCAACCAGGCTGCTGAGTGGCCTGTGCTGGGTGCTGTGAGCACCAATAGACTCATGGTTTGCTGTCTGTCTACTGCTTCTATTTCCTGCGTGCTAATTGTTCTTTTACTTTTGCTTGCTACATGCTCAATAAAAAAATATCCTCATTTGGAACTGAAGAGTGAGACTCTTGTGGAACTTTCTCAGCAGCATCTGGCACTTCTTCCAGAGGCACTGGGGGACCTCAGATTTACACTGTCACCCACAGCTGAACTGCAGCCCTTTCGCTGCCCACAGCATCCAGGGACCTGGGAGGTGGCACTGTGGTTCTGAGAGCCTGACTTGCAAGGGGATGCACAGTATGTTCAGAAACAGTGTGTGTGTGTGGGGGGGAGAGGGGTTCAATCCAGAACAATTAATTCTTTTGAACTCCTTGGCCTCAGTCAAGGTCACAGTAGCTCTTGCCTCCTCCTGATTTGGGAGACCTTGCAGAAGCTGCATAAAGATACATTGTCTTCTTCCTATCCCCCCTTGCTTCATGCTCTGGAGACTTCTAGATGGTCAAAACTATACAGCCTGGAGCAAGGAAATGCAAGTGCTCTTTCTGCTAGCTTACAGGGGATTCTGCTAGGCTCCTCCTGGGAACCTAGTGAAGGTTTACATCATCACCTGCCCTGCTACCAGGAGCAGGTAGCCTGGCAGTGTATAAAAAGGCTATCCCAGTTCTCTCCCTCTCCTTCCTCTCCCTCTCCCCCTCCCTCTCCTTCCCCCTCTCCCTCCTCCCCTTCCTCTCCCCTCCCTTCCTCCCTCCTTCTCTCTCAATTTCTCTATACACCTATGTGTTCCTGGCCAGCCTCTCTCTCTCCCCTTTTCTTTCCTTCTCTGTCCTTCTCTGTCTTCATGGCTCTGCTCTTGTCTGTCTTCCTCTACCCTTTCTCCAGATCCTTACTCCCCTCCCCCCAAATAAACCTTATACCAGGTCTGTCAGGTGGCATGATTTTTCAGGGGGCACCCCTCACGAGCACTGCATTAGATTACGTAACACTCTCAAAGTGTGGATACCCTCAGCCACAATCCCTCACCCCAAGACCAAACACTATAGACCGAATGAACACATCTCCACCCCAAGCCTGTCTCCCACCTGCAGTCACTCTTGCCTCCTAGACTGTATCGTAGGAGGGTTTCACAGATGGTATTTTCTTTCCCAGTACATCCCAGTGTGGAACTGACCATGAGGAACAACTGTCAGAGGAAGGGGCTGGGACTCACATAAACTATGCTCATAAAATTCGGCATGCACGCTAAGTTGGCCTTCTATCAAGAGAGCAGGCAGGAATAAAAGGTAGCACAGGGTTTCAGTGAAGCCCTAGGCAATAACAGAAAGTCATGCTTCTGAGCTACCTCCCCCAGGAAAATCTCAAGATTCAACGTGACTAGGGAGGCATGATTGTTTACAAGGCACGAAAGCCAATGAATCCTAATAGGACACTAATGGGAAAATGGTGGACTATTGAACAAGACTTTTTTTTTTTTTTTTTTAATGTGCAGGTAGGACACTGAGGGGAACTGAAAAGTTTCTGCTCTATTTTGTTTTGTAAGACTTTTCCAAGGCTGGGGATTCAGCTCAGTGGTGGCATGCTTGCAGGCATGAGGCCCTGGCTTTGACCTTTAGCATTGTACCAGGCTATGGCACTCAGAGCAAATAATCCCAGCAAGCCAGAGGTGGCAACTGAAGGATAAGAGGGGTCGTAGTCATTCTTGGCTACATTGTGGGTTCAAAGCCAGTCGTCTGGGTAACATAAGACATTGCCTCAAAAAAAAAAAAAAAAAAAGGCAAAGAAAACTAAATCTGGTAATAGGGTGAAGTGGTAAACTCCCACAATCCACCACTGGGAAGGTAGAGGTAGGAGAGGTTCAAGGTCATTTCTAGCTACTTTCTGAGTTTTCCAGATCAGTCTGGCTTACAGGAGACTGCCTCAAAAAAAAAAAAAAAATCTAAAATAAAAAAATAGTTTTCTTGTCAAGATTTGCTACCATGATCATATAGTTCATGCAAACGGCATTCAAGTTACAGTAAGAAAAGTCAATCTCATTTAAAAGAATGATACTGTCTCTGAGAGGCTCCGCGAGCGGCCTGGGGAAGAATGGGAAAGAAGCTGATCTTTCCAAGATTATTCTAATTTCCAAGCTAATCTTTCCAAGGTTTCAACTGGCAGAAGCCACGCTCCTCGCTAATAGGCTGTTGAGAAAGGAGCAGGTGCGTCACTTCCGGAAGGCAAGGTCCCCGGCCGCAGCTCCGAGACTGAGCGGTCTCTATGGCAACCAGCAGGCCCTGGCCCAGTTGCCAGGTTCCCAGGGGCCGTCTAGCCGGCCGCGCCTGCACAAAGAGCGCGCGGTGACCGCGCAGCGCAGCGCCGTGACCCGGCCAAGCCAGCCCCGCGGGAATTGCCACCCCCGCCGCCGCTGCCCGGGAAGCAGTTCCGGCGGCCTTCGTGACGTGCAGGCCGGGCGCGGCCTCGACCCTCGGGCCATCTTGGCAGCGGAGGCAGCGGCGGAGCGCAGGTACACACGCCGCCCGGCCGGGGCCAGTCCAGGTGCCGCCGCCTTTGTTCACGCGCGGGTGGTCGCATGGCACCCGTGGGTGGTGCCTGCATTCGCAGCCCGTGCTTCGGCAGGTGCATCCCGCAAAGTCTGGGCAGCGCAGCTCCGCGCATCTCTTAAGGCCTGGGCAGGTCCAGCCTATGCATCCTACAAGGGCTGAGCAGATCTAGCTAGAGCATCCTTCAAGGCCTGGGCAGGTCCAGCCAGCGCTCCACACCTTGACCCTGCAAAGCTTGCAGAAAGGAACTGCGTCCAGGACAGGACCAGCGTCCCCAGGCTTGCTTCAGCACCCAAGGCCTTTCGCTCTGATTCTCCAGGTACCTGTGGCTTGACTTTGGCCAGCATGGTCCAACCTCAGACCTCCAAAACTGAAAGCCCAGCCTCTGCCCCTGGTGCCAGCGCTCAGATGGATGACGTAGTTGACACCCTGACCTCCCTGCGTCTCACCAACTCTGCGCTGAGGCGTGAGGCCTCCACACTGAGGGCGGAGAAGGCCAACCTCACTAACATGCTGGAGAGTGTGATGGCTGAGCTAACTCTGCTGCGCACCCGGGCGCGCATCCCTGGCGCTCTGCAGATCACCCCACCTATCTCTGCCATCACCTCCAATGGGACCCGACCCATGACCACGCCACCCACCTCGCTGCCTGAACCTTTCTCCGGAGACCCTGGACAGTTGGCAGGGTTCCTGATGCAGATGGACAGGTTCATGATCTTTCAAGCCTCCCGCTTCCCCGGTGAAGCCGAGAGAGTGGCCTTCTTGGTATCCCGTCTGACTGGGGAGGCGGAGAAGTGGGCCATCCCCCACATGCAACCAGACAGCCCTTTGCGAAACAATTACCAGGGGTTTCTGGCTGAGCTACGCAGAACCTACAAGCCCCCGCTGAGGCACTCACGGCGAGCACAAATCCGGAAGACCTCTGCGTCCAATAGGGCCGTTCGGGAACGGGAGCGGGAGCGGCAGATGTTGTGTCGCCAACTGGCCACAGCTGGCACAGGAACCTGCCCGGTGCATCCAGCCTCCAACGGGACCAGTCCCGCACCAGCCTTGCCCTCTCGCGGCCGGAACCTTTAGGGATCTGCCACTACCCTGGTAGTCTGTGTCCATCCAGGTAGCTAGACTCCATTGTTGAGAAAAGTTGTCAATACAGTAGCATTGCCCTGTTTGATGCACCCTTCACGCCTCTCTGATCTTCGGGAGGCCACCCTGCCATCTGCATTGGTCACCCACCTTACTGTGAATTTTTTTTTTCTTTGCTAGCTTTACCTGCGACTCAGTGCATGCTCCTCCTTCTGTTGCTTGCAATCCCAGCCTTTCTAGCAGTCACAACACAGCCCCTTGGGCATGTGCCTGCCCAGGAACCATTTAGGCTACCCACCTCTGCGAGCTCAGCTCATGGATACTCAGCTTCTGGAGCACTTCCTACGACGGGGGCCTTGGGAGTTCCCTTCCTGAGCATTCCAGGTAGAAGGAAGCTTGGCCTGGCAGGCGGCTGATGTATGTCTGAACCAGCCTGTCTATATCTGGTCACTTTGCAAGATGGCTAGGTAGTCGCTCTGCATCCCAGGGATACTTTCCTCTGTTGGGGGGAGCCTGCATTCCAGCATATTCCACTGCTGTTGCTGGGAAGGTCTCTTCCTTCATAGACATCCTGCCAGCCTCTCTTGTCCGTGGAAGACTCCTCCACATCTGCCCATGCCTGCCAGTGTTCTCATGGCATTAAGGAAATTCAGCATTCATCGGCCAAGTTAATTGTGGACCCGGGACCACAGGCAGCAGATTCCTAACATTCACGCCTCAGCTCCAGCAGACTGAGGGGGACCCTGGGGACCCCATTTGATGCCTGGACTTCCAGGGAGAGGCTCACAGGTGTCCACTCATTCCTGCCCACGTGGCTCCATGGTGGGCCTTGTCTAGCTACAAACTTCCCCTTTCCACCCAGGTGCCGTGTGGCTTTCACCTCAACCTTTCAGCCACCCACACCGTCTCTAGGCGTCCAAGGAACCTACGCAACATACCGTCTGTGTTCCTGGGCCTAACTTCTAGCCTCCGTCCGAGAACAAAAGACTGGGGGCCAGTTCCTCTGGGAGACTCTGAGCATCTTTAGTAGGGCGCGTTGGCTTCTTGCTGCCCCAGTCTGAAGAACTGGCGACGAGTGACTGACTGTTTTGGTTCTCAAGCGGACACACGTCCCTGTTTCGAGGAGCAAAACCTCATAGGAAGATGAGCTCATGATGGTACTCAGACTCAGCCAAGCCTCTGGACAATGACGTTATCTGTCATTCCAATGCCAAATGAACTGTTTACATACCCACCTGGCCCCTCAGGGGGAGATGGGTGCCTCTCCTGGGTTTTCCTGCCCTCCTCTGCATGGTCTTGGCTTGACCAAAACAACAACAACAACAACAACAACAACCGCCTCTGCACCCATGGAAAGACATCTCTCTCCTCTTGGGATCTCAGAGGCTGGGGCCGGGAACCTGGCCTTTTCCAGAGACTTCCTCCATCACTGGAAAAAGTGACTGATTGTAAGCAACGCAAGCACCTTTGCAAGGCCAGGAGTCTTCGATGCTCACTGGGCTCACAGCCCACAGCCACCTGCTTCTTGATAAAACTCTGTTAGCCTAGCAGCCTCCCTGAACAGCCAAGGCACCCCGCTGGCACCATGGTGCTATAAGCAGGTGGAAGACTCCCCGGGTTCCATTGAGAGTACTCACCTGTCCCCAGCAGCTGAGTCTCAATGCATGACCTTCCGGTAGAGGGGTCCCCAGGTGAAGCTACAGCTGCACCAGAAAAATGGGGGGTAGGGAGGAGGTGTCTGTGGAGGCAGGCGACAACTGGAAGGTTTCTTTGTGGCCTTCCAAGTTGAGGTTAAGAGACCCACCCACTGGGGACGCAGGTGACCTGCCCTGGCTCCCTGGACCACTGGGTGCTGGCTGTGTTTGCATTAGGTTCTGCTTTAGAGCCCTGAGTAGATACTGGAGCCCAAGCTGCCCGAGTCAGAGCCACGCAGGCTGCCTGTCTCCAGGTGTGGCTTATCATCTTCCTTTGCATCTGGTCTGACCCACCTGGGCCACTCTGCCTCAGTGGGTCCCTGGTGCTGCTCTGGTGGCGTCTTGGAGACTGCTTTGTTTCTTGATGCTTATGTTTATGAGAACGGGATGGTGATGCCATGGTTTTAGGACCATGTCAGTGACTCTCTGTGGCTGGCAGCCTGGAGCACATGAGAGAGAGTTGAGGCTTGCCCTCTACTCTGGACCTGGAAGAGCCACTTGGGATCTGTTGCTGAGGAACCCATGGTGACTGTCGTTGGGGGCATGGTTAGTCCCCAGCCAAAATGACAAGGTACAGGGCCCATGCAGCTCCAGAGGGAGACTGTGATAACTGGCCTCAAAGCTGAGGAAAAGGGGGAGGGGAGGCTTAAGGTTCTAGTTTCTTGAGCTCAGAGGAGAACAGGGAGAGGGCATGGAGGAGTTGGTGTATGAAGGAGTTGTGCCATTCCACATTGACGGTCGTGGCAGTACTGCCGTCTGCTCTCCAGACTCTGTGAGACCCATCTGGTAAGCAAGGCTTCACTGTATTCAGCATCTAATTGACAGCGGGACCTGGCATTTGGGTGACTTCCCAGCCTAGTGTTTACTGTGACCTTGGGATTATCTCCATGTCCCAAAGCATTCAGTAACTGTGAGGAAACAGCAAAGACCCAGCTCCTTATCCCCAGCTAAGTAAGTGATAAGGTGTGCGTGCTCTGTGTTAGTACATATTGCTCAGCCTGAGACAGGTGCCTGTTACTGCAGAGGACGGAGTCACTACTGGATGAGCATGCCCTGGGCATCAGCTTGCAGGGGGAGTGAATGGCGGTGAGGAAGCTGGCATAGGCCTAGGGTGACTTAGGGAGCAAGCCTGGGGCTTAGCTGGGACACGCTGGGGACAGGGTGTTGGGCAGCAGATGCTCGGCTGTGTAGCCTGAGTGCTCAGACCATTCTGTGGCCCTTTGCCTGGGAGGTGTCCATCAGGAGCTCTGCTAGGACACCATGAAATGATGCTCAGGTTAGGCAGTGAGGGCTGGAGCTTGGGCTAGCAGGCAAGTTTCCAGTGTCTGGGAGGTCCTCACGTTTGGCATCTCTCTAGGACCTCGTGTTGGACTTGGTGACAGCCAGTGCAGCACACAGTGTAGAGCAAAAGGGAGAAGTCCCCACCCAGTGCCATCAACACCCGGACCGCAGCTTCCCATTCTCCACAGCAGCATACCAGGAAATTTAGGGGACCAGGGAGGGGAAAGAAAATGGTAAAATTCAGTGTTTTAATGTTTCCTTCCTGTCCCCGGCCCCAGCTTTCTTTGCCTCTTATACAGCTGTGGTGCTGCCTGTGGACCCCCACTGTGTACATATGACAACACTGTTTCCATGTGCCACCCACCTTACCTTGAATAACTGTGAACTCTCCCCTCAGGCAGAGGGACAGTGTTGGCACTGTCAGATAGTGACAGTGTGTCAAGTTTTCCTCCAAGGAAGGAGCCAAAGGAACTTCCTTGAGATAGATTCTCTAGGGTGGGATTATTGGATTAGTGAACACAGGGCCCTCTGAGACTTTTACTACCTACAGACAAAATGCTTTCCAGAAGTTCCTGTGTCCATTGCACTGCCACCAGCAAGGGGAAGTGTTCCTGATTCGGGGTCTTCTCCCAGGGCCGAGTATTCCCTGACTTGACGAGGACAGCAGCACCGTGTTGTAGTTGCGTCTTTCCATCTAGCTTGCTGTGAGTCGTTTTACACCAATTGACCACATTTCCTCTTTTGCAGACTTTCCTCTGCCCTTTGCTCCATTGACGGCCTGACAAGTTTGTAAGAGCTCCATATGTAATTAAAGATACTAACCTGGTGTGTGTTGTATCTACTATAAGTGTCTCTGGGTTTTTGCTTTGGGTGTGATTAAAGCTGGGGCACACAGGCAAGCACTGCCCGCCTCTGCCAGGCTGCTGCCCAGGACGGGACGGGAGGGCTATCTGGGACACAGCAGCATCTTAGGGGATGTTGTGAAGTCATTTACACAAAGGGGCATACTTCTAGGCCTTGGGGCCCAGGTGTGGTAGAAGGGTCCCTGTTACAGTGTTTAGACTTCAAGCAGTGCAGTTCTTACACAGTCTGGGAGGGTGACTCTGCCAGCTCTGTCTCTGGTGCCTAGCCCAGAGCATGACCTACACAGAGTGGGTGCAGTCCTAGAACAGGCAGTGTGATGGGTGCCCATGTCACATAGCTCATCCCATGGCAGCCATATTCCTCAGATCATCTTTCTGGCTCCAGGATCCCTTGACACATGTAGGCTTTTCAGCCCATACTGTATCACAGTTTTTAAATGTCATTTAAGCCATGAAAGGAAACCAAGGACCTGTAAGCCCAAGGACTATATTTTAATGAGAACTTAACTTTTCTAAACAAAATAATAGCCTGGCTCCATCTTGAGTTTCCATGGGATAGCAGGAGGCTTGGGCTGCTCCATCCCTGGTCTTTGTGACACTGTGGTGAGCCTCTGAGGAAACCCACTGCATGCCGATGAAGGGAATCTAGGCTAGCACCCCAGTGACTATGTGACTCGTGGTGCCTCCTCTGGGTTCCTCCACTTGGTCTAGTGGACCCTCTGATGGTTTTGACTTACCTATTGTCTGTCCACGCTGTCCCCAAGGCAGCAGAAATTGTGTCACCCCCCGCCCTCGTCTTCAGCTCACACCTGCCCACTGCCCAAGTCTGACACTGACCAGTTGTTAGACCAGCCTAGGTCCTCTCCTGCCTCTCAGGCCTGGATAGCCCATCTTGTTCTTATTCCAAGGACACTGACACAGATTCAAGGCTACTGTTGAAACTCCCTCTGACCTGATTAGGCCCTTCCTGGCAGTCCCTCACCCAGCCTTTCATCTGTCAAATATTTTATGTTGCCACTGAACATGGATCTTTTCCACAAAATGGTGCATCTTAAAGGCAGAGGTTCTGCCAACAGTGTCCCCGAGCGCTTGGCCTGCTCAAGGCAGCTGTGATCATACCACAGATGAAGATATGGCGGCTCTCCGGTCACATAGCCCATGCCAGAGCGGCTGTCTGCCTAGCACTCTGGGGAAGCCTGCAATACCCCATGCTCACTCTGTCCTACTTTACAAGGTGGGATCATCTGTTCGTACTCCTCTTGACCTACTTAACAGGTGAGGAGAGCCTGCCTTGGAGAAGACAGGACATTGTCTTTGAAAATTACTTACGATACATAATGTTTCATTCCCTGGACTGGCTACATGGATTAAACATTTCCTTTCCTTTGCAAATGTATCTTGCTTTCAATATCCTATCACCAAGCCATGCTGCAACAACCCTAGTAGCTAGTTTTCCTGGGAATGCTCTCTCCCTTGTCAACAGGACTGTGTTCTCAGGCTCAGGGATCAGCATTGCAGTCCCTCTGATCACACGGGGAGCACAGTTTCTCAGACCATCCACAGACTGTAGCACTTCCAGTTTGCGGTGACCAGCATTCCCTGGACAGCAAGAGCCCCTTTTCCTGAATAGGTTCCTCAATAGTGAGCAATGTGTTGCTAAATACTGCCATCTCCAGTAGACTGAAAGTGTGTCCTCAAACTCAGATGTGAAGTTCTGCACCCTGGAGGGCTGGAAAGGTGGCTCGGTGGCTAATAACATTGCCTGCTCTTTCAAGGGACCCAGGTTCAATTCCCAGCACCCACATGGCAGCTCACAATGTCTGTAACTCTAGTTCTAAGGGATCTGCACCCTCAGACCAATGCACATAAAAAAAAAATATTAAAAAGAAAAAAAAACCATACCCTATTGTCATAGTGTTGAGAAACAAATGTCTGTTGTTTAAATCATAGTCTGATACACTTTGGTGGTTTGAGAGAATAAAGTCATTGTAGGCTCAAGTATTTGACTCTTGGACTCTGGTGTGTTGAGCTATTTGGGAAGTTAAGGGACTTTTATGAGGTGCGGACTTGATGGAGGAAGTACATCAGCAAGGGTGGGCTTTGAGGGCTTATAGCCCCACCCCTTCCGGTTTGCTCTCTTTGCTTCCTGCTTGTGGGCAGAGATGTGATCTGTTAGCTCCCAGCTCCAGCTGCCTGCTCTCTCTTTTTCCGCAATGAGTTGCTTTTAGTTGGGGCATTTTATCACAGCAATGGAAAAGTGACAAATATGGAGGATCTCATCAAATTTACCTGAGCTAGACGACACCATCCCGAAATCTCAGCGCTTCTTCAATTTCTAAACCTGACTCTTAGGGTTTTTCCTAGACTTACATCCCTCGAGAGAGTGGTGTTTCCTATGATAGCTGTGCTGGATAGTTTTACGTCGACTTGACACAAGGTAAAGTCATCTGAGAGGAGGAAACCTCAATTAAGAAAATGCCTCTATAACACCCAGTGTAGGCAGACCTATAGGGTGTTTTCTTAATTAGTGATGGATGGGGAAGGCCTCTATTGTAGATGGGGCCATCATTGGGCTGCTCGTCCTGGGTTCTATAAGAAAGCAGGCTAAGTAAGCTATGGGAAGCAAGCCAGTAAGTAGGACTCTTCTGTGACCTCTGCGTTAGGTCCTGCCTCCGGGTTCCTGCCGTGCTTGACTTCCTGTCCTGACTTCTTTCTATGATGAACAGTGACATGGACACGTGAGCCAAGTATACCCTTTCCTACCCTTGCTTTGGTCATGGTGTTTCATCACAGCAATAATGACCCTAACTAAGACAATGGCAACATTTTGCAGTGGGATTTTCTTCTCTTACTACATTGGCAGCAGCCTGTGTCCCCTCCTGGGCTTGGCATCCTCCTGCTGATGCAGATATCGCTCCAGGCTGCCTGTCACTGCTAGTGTATAACAACACATGGGTCTAAGGTACCTCTGAGAAGGGCACAGGATGTTTTGGTCCCTTCCTGATTTCTAGTTGATCCTCTACTTGCCGTTTTTTTCAGAACATTTTGTCTGCTACCCAGAGGAAGGTACTTGAAACCAGGGACCACCATACTGCAGACGATTCCAAATCAGAGCACACGGGAAAGCACTGGGGTGGGACAGTGTTAGAGACCAGTTGGCCTGGGAGGCTCAAAGTGCCCTTGGGTAGCTTGAGCTACGGAAACAGCAGAAGAAGCTGCTATCTCTTCCCAACAGGAATCCTTGCAGATGGCCCCCTTCCTCTGAGCTGATCCACACTCCTGAGTGTAGCCCTATAAAGAAAAGCACAAGGTACCATCAGGAGAGGGACCATAGCCCTGCCAGGCCCCAGAGACCCAGCCACACTCTATTGCATTTAAATTGATCATAAGCAGGTATTAAACACTACAAGACTGCTCTAGAGACAGACGTAACACAGAACCTTAGAGTCGGCAGGGGATAGAAGCCACAGACCTCATTTGGACTGGGTTTCCTTCTATACATTCCCGTTGAATCATGCCTTCTCCATAAACCAGCTATGAATAATCCACTTGGTAACTCAGGAGCTGTGGGTTACTGACTGCAGTAGCACACAGCAGAACGGTGTGTTCCTCTGGTTCAGCGAGGAAGGGGTTTACGGGCAGGAAAGCAGCATGGCAGAGTGGTACCATACTTACTGTGCCAGCCACCCAGACCGTTTGGAAGGACCTCCAGGGCCTGAGTGAGAAATGGCCCCAGCGACACACGTGTGCCGATCTCCTTCTGAATGCTGGCGTCTTTCTGAAAGCTGAAGGGGAACAGTCCCCGCCCAGGCCTGGATCTCACAGATGAGACTCTTCTCTGGAGCAAGTCTGTTCACCGCTGTGTGGGGGAAGCAGCTGCACGTTGCCCTGCTAACTAAGGTCGAGGTCTACTATTGGCCAGACAGCCTTCTGAGGTCGGTGCAATATGGAGGACGCCCTTCATTGGCGGGCCTTCTCCTTTTCTAACTTGTCTGACGAGTTC